GGTGACCTGAGATAGTCTGAGGGGACCTGATGAGGTCTGAGGGGACCTGATGAGGTCTGAGGAGGTCTGAGGTGACCTGAGATAGTCTGAGGGGACCTGATGAGGTCTGAGGGGACCTGATGAGGTCTGAGGTGGTCTGAGGTGACCTGAGATAGTCTGAGGGGACCTGATGAGGTCTGAGGGGACCTGATGAGGTCTGAGGTGGTCTGAGGTGACCTGAGATAGTCTGAGGGGACCTGATGAGGTCTGAGGGGACCTGATGAGGTCTGAGGTGATCTGCGGTGACCTGAGATGGTCTGAGGTGAACTAAGGTGGTCTGTGGTGACCTGAGAACCTGTCCTACAGCTTCTGGTCCTACAGGTGGTTCTGTTGCTTCAATCAGATTTATATTAATTTAAACCATTTTTACTCACGAGTCATCGAGTTCCTCCACAAAGGCTGAGACCAACAGAACCGATCCAAACAGCAGAACTGAGAACAGAAACACAGTCAGGGTCCTGGTTCTACAGGGTCTACAGGTCCAGGTTTGGGTTCAGTACCTGAGAGCTGAAGCACGTTCCTTCTGTCCAACATGTTGACTGAAACTGGATCAACAGAAGATAAAGCTAATCTGCTAAAGGCTAATCTGACAGATTACCAGACTCCATTCAATCCAGTGAAACTTTATTTATAAAGAGCTTTACAGGAACAGACAAGCTGAATGAACTGAAGGAAGCAAAGGAAAACAAAACACAGTTGATCAAAAAAAAAAAGAATCTAAATCATTAAATAAACAATCATCATTTAATGGGGAACAGGAAGTGAACCTGCTGCACTTCCTGTTTCTGAACAGGTTCCATCAAGTTAGGATTAATTAAACAGAACCCAACTGCTGCTGCCCAGCAAATAAATTATTAGTGTAATTATTACAGACACATTATTTAAAATTCATACATTGTGATTTCCAGATTTTTTTAGATTATGTCTCACAGTAAACATGAACCAAGATGAAAACTTCAGACCCCTTCATGATTTCTGAGTGGGAGACCTTTCAAAGTCCAAGAGTGTTGAAATACGTATTTACTGTCCTTCTGAGACATGCTTTTCCTTTAGCAGAGACTTCCCACAGTTCTGTGTGGCAGGAAGTGACTGGAGCTGCGTCACACGGCGACACTCCCAGTCCTCCACCTGCTGCAGGTCAGACCTGTGGCTGCTGCACGAAACTAGGAGAAGGGATTAACCCGGGATTTTGGTGTAAACCTGAATTAATTAAGCCTTGAATCGGTTGCATTGGTTGCGTATGTTTCCATGGTAACAAGTGCTCTGAAACTAACCTGATCAGGTTTAAAGTGAAGATTATTTAATCTGTTAATGTTTCTGAGCAGTAGAGTCATTTTACTGCAGAAAACTGTTCCTCTGACCAGGTTTTACCGTCTGATATCAGATAAAAAGATTTTCATCTTGTTTTTAGACCCATAAACTAAACAAGATCAGAATATGTTAGATTGTCCTGATGCATCTCAGTAATCCAGGTAAAAAATCAAAAAGATAAAAATAGTATAGGTCTTCTGGACGGGTT